CATATGTTGCATATGCATTTTAGGCACACCTAAGAGCATTGCATCCATAGCATCACATATATGCATAACTTTTTCAGGTTTTAGCTAGAGTCAATTTTAACTTCGCGGCGAAGGATATTGAACTCAAAGCGACACAATTTGCTCGAGAGTAGATTTTAACTTCACGACGGATGATATCTAACTCGAAGCCAAACTTCACAATAAAGGGGTCATCCACGGTTTCAACTTCACGGCGAAGGGAATCATGACCACCCGCAACATACAATACTTGGATTTCAACTTCAAGACGAAGGGGCCATCCGCGATTTCAACTCCACGACGGAGGATATCGTACCCGCACATCCACGATTTCAACTCCACGACGGAGGATATCGTGCCATTTGAGGCTCAACTTCACGACTAAGGGGCTTCCAAGTTTCAGAGCCAATTTCAACTTCACAGTGAGGGATATTGGACTCAAGATAACACAAGCTCAAATTCATAACGAAGGGGCGACTGATTGTCAAAAAATAACTTTTCAGTTTCATTCAGAGTCAATTTCAACTTCACAGCGAATGATATTGAACTCGAGACATCACAAGCTCAACTTCACAGCGAAGGGGCGACTGGCTGTCAACAAACAATTTCCCAATTCCAGAGCCAATTTCAACTTCACAACGGAGGATATTGAACTCGGAACAATACTACCCACTTGTATTTCAACTTCACGATGAATGATATCCAATTACCAGGATCAACTTCACGACGAATGGGCCACCCGCAGTTTCAACTTCACGACGAAGGGGAATCGTGTACACAAGCAACATCCATCTCTATATTGGATTTCAACTTCACGACGAAGGATATCCAACTCAAAGAAGGGTTATCTATCAACAAAGACCTTCGAGTTTGACTACGCTCAGCTCTAAGACACATAATTTGCAGCATAACTCAAGGCAAGAAGGGTTATCTATCATCAAAGACCTTCGAGATCGATTACATTCAACTCAGAGGTAAATCAAATTTACAGCATAGCTCAAGGCAAGAAGGGCTATCTGTCAACGAAAATTATCGAGTTCGATTCCATTTAGCTCGATGATACCTCAATCCCACTATTGTCCGGCTACAATCGAGGTTTTCAAGCCGAGAAGAAGATATGGGTTAGCCGTGCCTTAGTAGCAAGAAGCCTTTTTTCCGTCAGCATAACTTAAGTTGAGAAAAGCTATCTGTCAACGAAAACTTTTCGAGTTCAGTTTCATTCAGCTCGAGGGCATATCAACCACATTATGGAGTCAAAGGATTACTTTCCAGTTGAATTTTTAGGCAAGGTCTTTAAACCGAGAAGAAGACCAAAGTGGACTACAATGAGAAGCCACATTCTGATTCAAATCATTTCAAGATGGACTCGACTTCGCGACGGAGGAGCCATCCGCAACTCAATTTGACATGGAGTTATTCTTCAACTCCACTGAACAAAAATTTGTGTTTTTTTATCTTTGTCCTATTTTTCGTTCCACGAAAAAGGACAAAGAGAGGCAGCTGTAGACACCCATTTTCTTAAAAAAATAGAACTAGCAAGAGTTCATCTCCTAAGAGGACTCTTCCACCACTATATCTTTTAAAGCAACAACCACACCAACAAACGTGCAACAACCGAGCAAGGAGTCTAGTTGCATTAGGATTCCATTGTTAATAGGATTCTAAAAATAGTTAGTTTTTTTCACTATAAGTATATGTAATCCTCCCCATTTGTAAGACACGGATTTACATACAAGGGAAAGCACGAAAAAATACAAACGCAAAGCTATTGTAAACGATTCGAAAAGGAAATAAAAGGTAGCATTTTTTTTACATTGAATCGTTCATTTCTCGCATGTGCATATTATTTTTCTTGAGATTTGGTTCGAATAACCCAAAGCGTGGGTTGCGTCGATGACCAAAAAGGGGTGGGGTTTCGAAGTTTCAAACCTAGATCTACTCCCGAGGCATGTTCATTTTTTTAAAAGTATTTAATATTCTCCCCTAAGTTAATCTTAATCTTTAATTTACCTTGAAATTTACCCTTTAATTTTACTTTTATATTAATTTCGTCTCCTATATATATATTTTTAATTATATATTTTTTTATTTATTTACTATATTCCTCTTTTTTAATTTATTTATATTATATTTTTATTATATATATCTTATATCATTATATATATATATATATATATATATATATATATATATATATGTATATGTATAGATGTATTAATTTTTCTCCATTTGCTATGTTTATATATTTTTTTTCTTAATATTATATTTTATACGTTTTTATATATATATTTTCTTAATATTCTATTTTTTATTTATTTATTTATATATATTATATTTTTACTTTATTTTATTTTTTTCTTAATATCATGTATATCTTTATTTTTTTACTTGTTTTACTTAGTATTATATATTTATTATTTTTATTTGTTTTAGTAAATACTAATTTATAGTACACATTATTTTTATTCAATTTTAATTTATTTTTCCTTTTTTTTACTCCATTAATTTCCCCCCTTTATCTGTGTCTTTTTTAACATTTTATTCATTTTGTTTATTTTTATTATTATTTTTTTATTATTTTTTACGTGTTTTGTTATTTTTCATTTTTTTTTGTTTTATTTATTATTCTCACGTTTGCACACTTGCTATCCTAATTCGATTTTATACTCCGCTACGAATCTAACGTTTTTATCTTTTAAGGGTATTCAAATCAATCAATTGTAAGTAATTTGAATCGGTTCTGTTAAATTTTAATTTTAATTTTAAATTTTTCGCAACTAAGACAACCGACAAATTAATTGGTACTGAAAGGGTGGTTCAAGGGTGCTAATCCTTCCTTGACCATAACCGACTCCCGAACCCGACACATTTCTGGTAAAAACATAGATCATGTAAGATGGTGTCTGACCCACCTAAATTCGTTTTAAAATGGTCGGTGGCGACTCCAATCCACATTTTTCAAGTCGAAGCCCAATTCCAGGACCCAACCGAAAGACGGTTACGACACACCCTTATGAATATAAAATAAAAAGTAATTATTTTAATTGGCAAGCATGAATTGGAACTAGATCTCTTGGATGAAATATGAACCATTCAACCATCTAGCTATGATAATCATTTGAATAGTATCACCACATTTTATAATTAACCTATATAATAGCATAGTGGAAAACTAATATTTTTTTTATGATTATAAAATTTAAATATGAGATAGTTCGAACTGCTTATTGAAAGTTTAGTCTCTCAATTATATTGTAAATCTACTTTTATTATAGTAAATTTAAATTTAGTTATATCACTAATAAATAATAATATTTTTTCATTTTATTTGAAAATAAAAAATAATTAAATATAATTTTATAATATTTTTACTGAATCATTCTAAAAATAATTATATAATTCTAAAAGTATTTTAAATATTTCTTTAACTTTTAAAATAATATTAATTATTTATTTGAAATAATATTATTTTTAAATTATATATTTAATTTTTAATAATTTAAAATTTAAGGTAAATTACACAATTAGTACCCAATTATCACTTTCATGTCATTTAGTTATAGTATTATTTAAAATTAAATAGATAATTTTAAAATAAAACATTATTTCAAATAAATAATTAATATTATTTTATATAAATAAATAATATGATTTTAAAATTAAATAAGTATTTTAAACTTTTTTATAATATTATAAATATACTTTTTAGGATGATTTAATATAAAATTTATAAAAATATATACATAATTATTTAATTATTTCAAATAAAGTGAAAAATATTTTTAATTTAATAATAATACAAGTATTTGGTTTAGTGTAATAAAAATATACTCACAATATGATTACCTGTCTGCACTTTCGGTCATTAATTTTGAAGTGTCTCATATTCAAATTTTATAATCAATAGAAAAAATTAATTTTGTGGCGATATTGTTATATAAATTAAGTACAAAATGTGGTAAAACTAACTCAAAGCATAACTCAATAGTTTAGTTGAATAAAATTAATTAAAATTTGTGTCAGAGAAAGATGACATGAAAATTAGAAAATACATAAAGTTGACAATGCCACATCAACATTGTTAAAATTACAATTAAAATTAAATTATAAAAATAGATTAATTATGAAGTGGTCTTTGAGTTTTTTAATATTTTATTAGTAAGAATAATTTAATTAGTGGTGTATTTTTTGTACTGTATTAATGGTGTACGACATGGATAACAAGTTATTTAAGTTGATATTTTTGGGTGGCAGGAAAACAATCAAAAGCTAAAAGATTAGCTCAAACTGTCAGAGCTGGGGTGGTGTTCCATATCTTCGTGGAAGATAGTTGCTAGAGACCATCAGGCATTGTCGGGAAAATTTGGAAATTCAGTCCAATCGTCCATGCGAGACCAGGCAAACCATCTGCAATTCTATTGCACTCCCGAGGAACAAAAACAAAGTAATTCCTGTTCATCATCTCACGAATATGTGGAAATGGGGAAGAGCCACCTCCCATCACCGGAGGGACATTAATCCACGAGATCGTTTCTTTGCAATCAAGTTTGATTTGATTAAAATTCAGTTATTACTCATATTAAATAAATTTGGCTTGAACTTAATTTAAGTTTTTAACGAGTCGAACGAATTACTTAATGTTCGAATATAAAAATATCATGAACAAAATAAAAAATATCATTTCTAAACTTTTAATTTTATAAAGTAAATTATTAATAATATCACGATATGATTTTAGGTCACCAAATTGAATTGTCACAATTTCAAAGTTAAATGCTCAATAATAGTCGTATCTTGAAAATTATCATTTTCTTAAAAATATAAATTTTCTTTTCATTTATATTATAAATCACGTAAAATTGTAAAATTGTAGAGAACCTCTCTTCAAGTACATAAAAAATTTTTGGATTCAAAAGCAAACACAACATTTAATATTTAGGAATTGTTATTATGCTTTGTACCTTGGATACGAACATTGCGTATACACAAATATATAAATATTTATTATCAAATGATTAAGAATTTCAGAACAAATGTTACTTTACATTCGTTCCGGACTAATGGAAAATCCATTCAGGGAGCAAACTGTAAACTAAATTTTTGTTTCAATATTTGCCAGTATTTCCTCTGCCGGTTTGTGTAGGCTATGAAATGAGCTTGTGTGGTTAACACTGGGCATGCAGCATTTCCATGCCTGGCTGCTTTAACCAGCTTCTTTCTCTGCCAGAAGAAACTTTTCATGTAGAATTGTGGATGGAAGGCCAACAAGTGGGCAACTTCTACTTCATACTTAACTTTGAAATGTCACATTCAACAAATACCCATGCCGAATCCGAAACTGTGTTCGATACAGGAACTGGACATAGGCACAAAAAAGAGAACCCGAATCCAAAAAAACGTCAAATACGGACACAAGACATAGGCACAGGAAGAGAAACCAGTATAAAACCAGGCTCTCCCCAAGGACAACTGGGCATTTTCATCATTGGCAAAGCATTTATCAATCTTTTTTTAACCTGTAAACTTACTGAATCAACGTCTATGAGAAATCTCTCGTATCAAACACATTATCAACAATAGAGGCTAAAGAAGAAACAAGGAATGGTATCATATTCCATAACAATAAGCTTGGAAGTCAGACATTATAAATCTGATTCTCAACATTTTGTTTCGATAAGCCTTGGCAAAAAAATTGTTTGTGACAACCATGCACCCCATTCTTTTAAGGGAATTATCATCTATCATCTATCATATAACTCAAAACAACCAATGTTTGCTTGTTTAATTATCTTATTATCTTACTATATTCGTCATTATCTCTACTTCCCTTCAGAACTGTTCTTATTCCAGGTCTAGACTCTTTTTCATAGCCTCATAAACCATATAAGTAATGCTTGCAGCTGGGACAACTTTGAGAAGATTAGGGAAGAGACCTTTGTAGAAACCTCTATAGCCTTCATTCTGAAAGGTTCTCCAAAATACATCGGACATTCCCTTATACGCAGCTTCAGAGGTAGTATGTTGAGCTTGCAGTCTGGAAAAAAAAGGAATACACCGGAACAATAACCAGATATATAAAAAAAGGTGGATACAAATACCAAAATCCATATATGATTATGCAGATGAACCGAAATTACCCAAAAACAATGGACTTATAAACTTACTATCATACCTCGTTCTAATAACCTGCAAAGGGTAAACACAGGTTGCTCCTAAAGCTCCAGAAATGGTCCCACAGCCCAGTTGCACAAGAGGACCAGGTTCTACCAAAAAAAAAGAGAAAGGAATCCAGAAGAAGCTCCCTTGTTAACGAAAAACTAACCAAAACAAAAGCAAGTGTTAAACAAGCAGCAGACAGAAATGTACCACTATTTTCGAGAATATATGTCCTTGAGAGATCTTTCAAGGTCTCGTATACAGTAAGGTCAATGCCAGCATACGGGATAATCCCCAAAAGAGATGGCACAAGACCTTTATAAAACGCTCGAGGTCCCTCCTGAACCCAAATATCCTTTGTTAATTTCCCCAGATTTGGAGCCCTTCCACTTTCAGCAGCACAAGTCTGTAACCGAGTTTTTACAAGATCCATTGGGTAGATAGCGGATTGTGCCACCGCACCTGCTACGCCACCAGCAATAAGTCTCCCACTGGCTCCTATATCACCATTCTTGTCCCCCATACTGTCTCCTAAAACGTTCTTTAACATTTCGTATGCGTAGAACTTGATAGCACTTTCAGGGGCTACCTTCACAACATTTAATCCATTACCTCGAAAAAACCCTAACACACCATCTTCCTTCAATATCTTCTTTACAGCTGGCAGAATACTGGCATCTGTAGTTTGCACCTGCAAAACCACCTTCAAGCGATCGAGAGGAGCAGTTGCAGTGCGAGAAGCTGCTCCCGCTATTCCTCCTGCAATAAAAAATTTGCTTCTCTTGACATGTTTACTGATGCCTTGAGGAATAACTGCATGTTCTCCGATATCTACAAGGCAAACCCTTTCCCAATGATGATAAATGTTCTCAATGGTAGCTTCATGAGGATAAAGTAGAAGGAAATCTCTCCATTCTTCAAATGTTATAATTCCATTATTATCCTTATCGACGTCTTCTACAAATCGAGCAAGCTCCTCATCATCAATTTGAATCCCTGCAAAATACAAACTGCCGGGGCTAATGAGAAGAAAACAATTGTTTAATTGCAACCATGCATACAATCAGCCCTTCCACATGAAACATTTATAAGGAATAAACCTGAGGAATCACGATGCAAAGGAACAATCATATATTTTCATTGGATGCAGCAAAACTCATAGGTTGATTATTGTTAAAACTGGTTTTATTTCATCACTCTCATACCCTAGCTTGGAGAAAGTTACAGAATTTAAATATACACACTGCTACCTTATCTTAGGAAACAGTTAAACTAGGTAAGTATTGATTCTAGGACTAATTCTAATCCCTTAAAGTTAGGGATCCTAAATTAGTAGAATATTTATAAAGATATTCCTAAATTAGGAAGCTAATCTCTGACACTCCCCCTCAAGCTAGGCATGGATGTCTTCCATCCTCAGCTTGTCTGCCAACTTCTGAAAATACTTACCAGGTAAAACTTGGTAAGTATATCAGCAACTTAATCTCCAGTGGTCACATAAGGAGTACAGATCAGACCACTGTCAAGTTTCTCCCTTATAAATTGTCTATACACTTCAACATGTTTTGTTATATCATGTTGAACTGGATTATGAGCAATATTAATTGTTGATTTGTTATCACAACATATAGCTTCATTGATCCATCCCATTTGATCTTCAAATCTTCTAAAATGATCTTCAGCCATAGTAACTCACAAATTCCCAAAGCCATAGCTCGAAACTCAGTTTCTGCACTTGATCTGGCCACAGCATTCTGTTTTTTGCTCTTCCAAGTAACCAAATTTCCTCTAAAGAAAGTAAAATACCCAGAGGTTGATCTTTTATGGACCCAACATAGTCTACTTCAGTGTAAGCTTCCAGAGTCAAATTCCCCACTCCTCTAAACAGAATTCCTTTGCCTGGTGTCCCTTTCCAGTATGTGAGTCACTGCCCTTAGATGTGATCCTTAGGATCGCGCATAAATAGACTTACAACTCCAACAACATACGCTATGTCTGGTCTAGTATGTGATAAGTAAATAAGCCTTCCCACAAGTCTTTGAAATGAAATCCTATCAATGGCTACATCATTATCTTTTGAATCTCCAAGCTTAAGGTTGACCTTTATTGGCGTTTCTGCTGGCTTACATCCTAATTTTCTAGTCTCCTTTAACAAGTCCAGAGTATACTTTTGTTGAGATATAAAGATTCCTTGCTGTGAGTGTGCTACTTCAATACCAAGAAAATATTTTAATCTCCCAAGTTCCTTAACTTCAATCTCCTTTATCAAACAATTCTTCAAACTGCTAATTCCTTCAAGATCATTCGCTGTGAAAATTATGTTATCTACATACACCAAGAGTGCAGTTACTCCCCCTGAGGAAGAGTGTCTCACAAATAAAGTATGGTCACCTTGGCTCTATTTGAATCCTTGTCTCAAAATCACTTTAGCAAACCTTCCAAACCAAGCTCTAAGAGACTGCTTTAGTCCATATAGAGCCTTTTCAACTTGCAAACTGTCTGTCTAGCACTCGATCTGTATCCAGGTGGTATATCCATGTACACTTCTTTTTCAAAGTATCCATGCAAGAAAACATTCTTGATGTCAAACTGCTGCAAATTCCACCCTTGAGTAGCTGCTAAGGGCAGTAGAACTCTTACTGTATTCATTTTTGCAACAAGGGCAAAAATTTCAAGGTAATCTATTCCATAAGTCTGAGAATATCTCTTTACCACCAACTTTGCTTTTTACTTTTCCAATGAGTCATCTGATTTATACTTAACTGTATACCCATCTACATCCCACTGTTTTCTTCCCTTCTGGCAGCTTCGCTAAGCGTCAGGATTTATTCTTTTCCAATGCTTCCATTTCATCCTCCATAGCCTTTTTTCAGTTCTCATTCTCTAAAGCCTCGAAAACAGTCTTAGGGATGGTAATGGTGTTTAGGCTGGAAAGAAAAGCTCTGTGACTCCTTTTCTAATAGCAATGGGAAATTAAAAATTAGAATTATATGCATCATTGTCAGTATTTTGAACAGGAAGAGTTTCCAATTGTACCTCAGATTGTACAAGAGCAAGAGAAGGGGATGATTGAATCTACATAGGTGTCTTCTTCCTTGAATAAACCAACACAGACTGAGTGTCCCGGATAGTTGGTTAGGGTGTACTAGGTTTTGGTTGTGGACAATTTGGAGATGTAGGCTAAGCAGATTGTGTTTGGGCAGGTTGTGTTTGCTGTATTTGTTCAGAATGTGTAGGAGTAGGGAAATCAATAAAGGGTTGGTGTAGGAAAATATCAACATCCTTATCTTCCTTAAATGATATCTACCCTGAAGATGAGGAACAGTAAAATAACTCTCATTTTCAATAAAGGTGACATCAATAGTGGTGTAGTATTTTCTTGTATGTGGATGATAGCATTTGTAGCCTTGTTGAGTAGAAGCGTAGCCAATAAATATGCATTTTAGTGCCCTTGGATCAAGTTTACCCCTTCTTGAGAATGTATATGAACGAAAGAAACACAACCAAATATTATGGGTTTTAGGTTAAAAGATGGTTTAAAATTTGGGTGGAATTTTGTGAGGACTTTAAGATGACTTTGGGACTCAAAGGATTTTAGTGGGTAGTCTATTAATCATGTAGGTGGCAATTAACATAGCCTTTCCCCAATAATGTTTAGGGACTTTGTTTTGAAATAGGAGGGCTCTTGTAGTGGCAAGGATATGACCATTTTTCCTTTCAGTTACACCATTCTGCTGTGGGGTGTTAACACAAGATGATTCATGGATGATATCCTTCTATAGAAAGTAAGGAGATAGGACACGGTTAAACTAGTCTTTGGCATTATCATATATGAATCTCTTTATTTCAGTCCCAAGTTGGATTTTAATCATGGTGTAGAAGGTTTTAAAAATTGAGGTAACATCTGATTTTTGCTTTAAAAGAAAGATCCAAGTAACCCAAGTACAATCATCTATGAATGACACAAGCCATCTAGCCCCGATTATGTTAGGAATAGTATAAAGCCCCCAAACATCACTATGAATAAGAATAAATGGACTAGTCCTTTTATTGCTTGCTGGGAAAGAGGAACGCTTGTGTTTTGCAAGTTCACACACTTCACAATGAAAATCTTCAGTACTTAAAGAATTGGACAAAAAGGGAAATATTGTCTTTAAAACTTTAAAAGGTGGGTGACCAAGGCGAAAATGATTTAGCCAGATTTGATCTTTATTAATAGTAGATTCTGATAAGAGAGACAAAAGTTGGGTATCCAAGATCCTAACTGGTCCACTGGGTTCTTCAAGGTAGTATATGTCGTTTATTTCCCTAGCACACTCAATCATCCTATTCGTTTCTTGCTCCTGAAAATTACATTGTGTAGGATAAAACAAAACATTGCAATTAGTATCTTTAATAAGTTTTTGGGATATAAGGCTGGTAAACAGTTTTGGTACACAGACATTTTTAAGTAAAAGTGTTTCACTTATGGTTATATCTCCTTGACCAGCAGCTGTTATGATAGTGCCATCTGCAACTGTGATTTTCTTACTGCTAGGATAGGGTGTGTAGGTAAGAAATTTAAGTGAGGAATTAATCATATGGTCTGTGGCTCCCGAGTCAATTACCCATGAATTTTGAGTAGGTATGTGAGTGGATATTTTCGAGATTAAAATCCTGAGAAAAGGAAGAGGATATACCTGAGAAAACCAGATTGCTTTTCCCTGTAAAGGAAGGCTTCTCCAAGGATTCCAGTAAACTCTTTAATTTTTCAACTTCTTCCCTGTTGAACTCAACAGGTTGTTCTTCAGCCTCTTTAACATCTTGTTTAGTTGCATATGCTCTGCTTTGTCCTCTCGATGAACCCCCTTTCTCGGTAAAATTCTTGTTGACTGAGGTTTTCCATGTAACTTCCAACATTTATCTTTAGTGGCGAGGTTTCTTGCAGTAAGTACACCATAGAGAGTCTTTATTAACTATTCTTGTTGTTTCTAGTCTTCATTCAAAAGTCTGTTGTTTCAAGTGTGTTGATTCCTCAGTCACAGCCCTAGTAACCAAGGCTGAACTTTCTATTTGGCTACTTTCAACTACCACCACCCCTCTTCTTCCTTCCTCAGCCCGAATGATAGCAATGGTCTCATTCAATGAAGGTAAATCCTCTTTTACTAAGATAAGGACTCTCACTATATCAAACTCAATATTTAGTCCAACAAGAAAATCATAAACATTTCTTTCTCAACAAACCTTTTTAGGATTGCAACATCTTCATTGCATTTCATTTGAATGCATTGATAATGATCTATCTCCTGCCAAAGGTTTTTTAGCATGTCAAAATATTTTGTAATGGATTTGCTTCCCTGTTTAGTGGATGAAATCTTGCTCTTGATTTCATATATCTGGGCAGCATCTTTGACTTTCGAATAAGTCTGTTTCACAGCCTCCCATATCTCTTGGGTTGTCCCGAGAAACATACAAGTGTCACGGGCACCATTGAATTCCACAGCCAAGACATGACTAGTGAGTCTTGCTCATCCCATGCTTTGAATCTAGGGTCTCCTTCTTTAGGGCTAGTTCCTAGGAGATGACTGAGCTTTCCTCTTTCTTTTAGGAATGTTCGAACCAACTGAGACCACTTAAGGTAATTTTTACCATTCAATCTGTAGGCAACTTGAATATTTTGTAAGTCACCAATAGTATTGGAATGACTTCCTTCACCAATTGTGCCTCCTTGAATGGTTTCAACTTTGCTGGAAACGGCCTCATCCACCATATTTTGTTAGGTAGAAACTTGGTTCTTTGAAGGGAATGAAAAGGCTAAGAAGGATGGTTTAAAAACGAGTAATTGGACTTGAAAAGAAGAGCTGAAGTAGCTCTGATACCATGTTAAAACTGGTTTTATTTCATCATTCTCGTACCCTAGCTTGTAGAAAGTTACAGAGTTTAAATATACACACTGCTACCTTATCGTATGAAACTGTTAAACTACGTAAGTATTGATTCTAGGACTAATTCTAATCCCTTAAAGTTAGGGATCCTAAATTAGTAGAATATTTACAAAGATCTTCCTAAATTACGAAGCTAATATCTAACAATTATCATAGAAGCAAACCTACGGTTTCCCAAAATCTGAAAATCCCAAATAATGATTAAAAAAAAGAGAACTATATTCATCAAGAACATGCACAAGTCCAAGTCTGTGACATGTTCTCTCCTTGCAAAAGAACACCAATAGATGCCTACGTATAATCCACGAAGATGCTATCTCAAACATCCAACAAAACTAAATGGCACATAATATAGACAATGAAGACATCTCCACTATTAAGCCAAAGAATCTGACACATGGAGGTACCGACCAAACATGTCTCAAATATCAAGCGAGACAAACTTTCTTTAGATTGTGGAAAACGTGCTTTAAAGCTCGTACAACACCTAGGTGTCTAATTATTAATTTAAGAACTGAAATAAGATAAGTTAAATATAATCATTCAACAGAAAACTAATATGGCATATGAAGCTTTATTCCACCTCATAATCTTCCCTCGAGACAATTTGAAAGAAACACATTGCACAATGACAATGCACATACTATAACCACGTGTCATATATTACATTTTAAAATACAGCTCTTGTAATTCTACGATGATCTCCAAGGTCAAGGTTTACCTTTCTTTACTTCCATTGGCCACTCAAACGTGCAATGGAAATGTTGTTACTTGTTAAACACAATGACATCTAACAGCATGCGTGTGACATTCAATTAAACTTTCATTATAGGTAAGTTTTGAGAGTACATGAAAGAAAGTACTGAAGGAACCACATCACATCAGGTAAATGTACAATCCAAACCAAATACTCAAGTAACAAACGAACTATGTCATGCCGGGTAAATGTATGATCCAATCCAGTTAGCAGTGGCGGATCTAAAAATATTTTTGAGGGTGCACACATATGTCAATAACACACAATTTTTTAATAGGTTAGGCACGAATAAAATTTAAGGGTGGGCATCATCCGTAAAATAGGTAACTAATCAAAGAAAATTTGGATTTTAGTGCCCACGCTCCAATACATGTGGATCAGCCACTGCCAGTTAGCATTAATTATTTCTAATATTTTAAGTTAACCAAAGACCCTCTCATTCAAACATGTATTTGAAAACCTCCACCTCAAAACAAGGATTTAAGCACCAGAATACCACAAAATCAAAGCAATCAGCCACCAAAATACTTTACAGCCACCCATCGTTGTTCATAGCTGTTTTCTATAATAGTTTTAATCATAGCAACTAGTCTCCAAAAAAAGTTACAATTAGTAAATTATTAAAAGATTTTTATACAAAGGTAACAAATTCTCTGGCAAACCCATTCAGAATTACATAATGCACAAAACCAATGGTTGCAAATGCTACTAGTTAAAGGGAAATTAAAAAGATCACAGCTTCAACATATATAAGCAAATAACCATGCAAACTCTATGATTTCTAAATCAACCCCAATCACCAAACCAGTCAAACATGTGAAGGCAAGAGAAAAAAAAAGATAAAGAAAAAAAAAAATCCCTCCATCATTATAAACTTAAAAGAGAGAGAGAGAGAGAGAGAGAGAGAGAACATAGCATACCAGCCTTAACAAGGGCATCCCAAAGCTCCTCGGGCAAAATGCAGCCATTATGTTCGACATCAATAGCTTGAAAAATCCTATAAAGTTCAAGCTCCTTATCATCCATATACCTCTTAAACTCTTGATAATCCACGCGCCCATCTCTGTTTGCATCACAAACTCTCAACAGATCGTTAGCATACTTATACTCAGTCGGAATCTGCAAAGCTGACAAACCCTTTTCAATCTGAGCATAATCCAAGAATCCCACATTGGCTGCATCAAAAAAATTGAACAAACTTCGAATTCTTAAATCCCTTTCTTCCTTAGTCTCCTGTAATGCTAAAAGAACATGATCCATTGAGACGGGTCCGGGTTTTTTGACCGGGTTGCAACATCCGGGTTTGGGATTTGCCTCCATTTTAGGCAAGCCTACATGCTCCACACCCTGCCTCGCAGCCCCGGACATAACAATAGCAAAACGACAACGCTTCTAATTACCTTAGGCAAATTTCACCAAATTTCTCGGTAAATGTTATCACTTGGGGTTATTCTTCTCTGCAAGCATGGAGGCTCAGAAAGAAAGAGATCTGTTTTATACAATTGGGAACAAAGAACATAAAAAAAAGAGACCTTTTTGTTTGAGGCAGAGAAATTATGATACACCCCCAAATAATCAATCAAGGAAAGGATCCAAGAATTTGACTCAAATTCCTGAGAGAAACAAGAAAAAGATGCACACTTCGCTTTGGTTTGAAGAGAGAATCGGTCAAAGTAAGGAAAAATGGAGTCAAAATTTCCAAGGAACAGGCATATAGCAATTGAGATAAATTCTTAAGTCTTTTCTAACAGGTCATAGCCTAAGATAAAAGAATCAATCAAAGAAGCAATATTACCGCAAATGAAAAGAAAAAAAAGAGAGCTATTATTAAAGGTAGAAGAATGAGTAGTGTTCAAACGTCCAGATAATGAGATAGCACGTACTGGCTCCCGAAGCTCTCAGATCTTCCAAAATCACTTTTCTTTGAAAGCCCCAAGTCAGAATCTGATACAGTAGGAGATTAAAATTTCTGGGTGTTTGGGTTTTTTTTTCCTTCGATGTTATGACTTTGCTTTTCGCCTTCTGTCTACCACAGGGACATGATTGAAAGAAGCAGAGGCTACTAGAAAAAAAGGAAGATATTCTTTGAACCGTTAAGAGGGTAAACCACATGTTTAGTACTCAATTATGGCTCTTGTTCCATTTCTGTCCCTCAACTATTTTTTCAAATTATACCCAACATTTAGTTTTAGTTTCATTTGGGTCACTCACTATTAAAATATTAACTGTGATGCTGACTTGTCACCAAAAGGTAAATATCAAACCATTATTAAAAAAATACAATGTCACATAAGTAGTTCTATTAATTTTTAATGGTAAGTGACCAAATTGAAACCAAAATGTAAAGTTAGATATGATTTTGAAAAAAATAGTTGAGTGACCAAATGAAACAAAGATGATAGTTTGGTTACTAAACGTATAGTTTACCCTAAAGTAAATTATATATAATTCTTTTGTTTTTGGGTAAACTACACACTTCATCATTGAATTTTACTCTCTCTTATTTCATTCATTGGACTTTCAAATTTTTCAACTTTCTCACTAAACTTTATATTGATTCTATTTTTTGATCACTATAAATTATTTTACTATTATTATTATTCTATGACATGACACTTTTATATATTATTAGATATAACAATAATTTAAAACAAATAATAAAATAATATTTTTATTATTAAATTTAAAATAATCATCGTTGTCATCGTCGACCACCATCGGCCTTTAGAACCGGTAACTGTTTAATCCCAAATTGTACTAAAAGAATCGCTTTAACATATCGAGTCTAAATCTGGTAGTTGTTTTACCAAAAAAAACATCATCAAACTCGTGAATCTCAACTAAAACATTTTGGTTTTGTTCCCTTATTTATGGACTCAGGGGGTCGAAACGAAGCCACCGATGAAATATGGGACCAAAATGCCTTTATCTATGACCACCGACATTTCAATTTCCTCACTTTTTATTAGATTCAGAACATATATTGACAAAATGAATGTCAGATTCGGACTCAAATGGTTGAGATAAAGTGGTCGATGAAATATGGGATCTAACGACCACCAACTACAGTCGTAGACGGTGGTGTCCAATGATGTCAAATAGTGGACGACCACTATATGGGTTTAATTTTAGGGAAAACTACATGTTTAGTACCTAAAGTATCACTTTTTCCATTTTAGTACCTAAACTTTCAATTTTTTCAAAACCATACGTAGAGTTTACTTTTTGTTTCATTTTAGTACCCCACTGTTAAACTTTTAGGTACTAAACTGAAACAAAAATAAACGTCGGGCACTAAAAATGAAACAAAAAGTAACATTAGGTATGATTTTTAAAAAAATTAAAAGTTTAGGTACAAAACAAAACAAAAGTGATACTTTAGGTACTAAACATGAAGTTTACCCTTAATTTTATATTTTAAATTATTTTTATATTAAATAATAATAAAAATGTCACATTATACCAAAATAACAATAAAATAATTCAGAGTGACTAAAATAAGAATAATTTCAAAGTTTAGGGTAAATTACATGTTTGGTATCTAAAGTATCACTTTTGTTCAGTTTTAGTACCTAAACTTTCAATTTTTTTCAAAATCATACTAATGTTTACTTTTTGTTTCATTTTAGTACCTGAGGTTTACTTTTTACTTCATTTTAGTGCCCCATTGTTAACTTTATGTTTCATTTAGTACCTAAATTTTTAACGGCGGTGTACTAAAATGAAATAAAAAATAAACTTTAGGTATTGTTTTGAAAAAATTGAAACTTTAGGTACTAAAATGAAATAAAAGTGATAGTTTAGGTACTAAACATGTAGTTTACCCTAAAGTTTAATGAGTAATTGGAAAATTTGATAGTACAATGAGTGAAATAAGAGATATCTTAAAATTCAGTGATGAATGGTGTAGCCTACCCTTTGTTTTTTGTCCATTTTGGGTAAATTATTAGATTGATCGCAAACCTTTTATATTTTACACTTTTCTCATTAAATTTAAAAATGTTACATTTCAATCGCTTATGCTATCAATTTGTTCATTTTTTTGGTAATTTATGTCATCGATTGTTATACTTTTGTTAGTAAAAAAGGGTTATTTTTAAATTTAACCCATGGATTTAGGTAGAATATTAATTTAACAATAAAATTTATATGAAATATTATTATTACCTCTAAACTTCAGATAAAATATCAATTTGATCCTTAAATTTAACCAAAGTCTCTTGTCGTTGAACACACCCACTATCGTCGTCATCGGTCACCATCAATTGACATCGATCATCGTATTTGTCGACTGTTGGAATCCAAAATTTTTGTTTCACTCATTTTTTAACATTTTGAACGCGAATCTGGTGTATGTTTCACCAAAAAAAATGACTCAAGCTCAATAAATTTAACCTAGAACCCTTTGAGTTCTGAATAAAATTAAACCATAATAATAAATTTATCATTAATATTTCTTTAAAAATTAAGGACACCAAAAATCTAAATATATATCATAATCAAATGCATAATACTTTTTGTTTATAATATTGTTATGTTTATAATATTAAATATAAATTTATAATATTTATAATCAAAATAATATTATCAAATATCAGTAAGGATTATATGAATACACATGTTCACTAAAGCAAATCAAATATTGTACTCTAAATAGAAATGTTAGAAATTCTTCTACGAAGGTGCTCCTCTAATATGAACCCAGATGGATTAACCTGCGAACATAACATTTAAATGTTGATATTTACAAGCTTAATGGTACACTTCTACTCTATTTTACTTCATGTAGTTCATAAATATAAGCATGCAATGCAAGACTAAGCATAGAGGTAAAAGTATAACATATATATTCTCTAATTATTAATTAAGGCTCAACATGTTACTCAAATTTAGGGAATATCATATTTCAATCACTATCAAACTATGAGTATCATACTTATCAAAATCTATAAGTATACTTCACATGAATATTATCAACCACGAGAACAGTCCATGACTATAGGACTTATGCACACAATCATATCAATCTATACCAGTATCGGTATAAAAAACAACTTTGAAATTCTCCATTAAGTCTATTTTATTGATACCCCTGATTTGGTTTCGATACCATATGTACCAAATGGTCAATTTACTATATCAAACATGCTCAAAGGCTACCAAATTTAATTTACTATATCAAACATGCTCAAAGGCTACCAAATTTACTTTAACTTGTATACAACAGGTATGTTCCATAATACCATCTCAATAATGCATCAATAAATCAATTTCATTGAGGTTTATTATGTATGCATTATACATCAATTCATGCTTGTCAACAAATACCATATTTTCATAATTTCTTACCATTTGCATAATCACATAAAATTTTTACATTATGAACCTTGACATGAGATTAGGCCATTTTACTATACTCACACCATGCATGAACTTAACACTTGATCACATTCAAAAACATGTGTAACATTAGGCCTGTAAATGAACCGAACGAACACGAACGGGGAATGTTCATGTCCGTTCTTTTAACTTTAACCGAACAAATAAATGACCACGAACATAAACAAATGGAAAATTTCTTGTTCTTGTTTGTTCATTAAGGAATATATCGTGTTCGTGTTCGTTCATGTTCGTTTATTTAAATGATAAACGAACACAAATGAACGGATGTAACGAACATAAACGAACACAATAAATGAACGTAAACGAACACAATAAACGAACGTAAACAAACACAAATGAACGAACATAAACGAACACAATAAATGAACGTAAACGAGCATAAATGTAAATAGATTTTTTATCTTTCCTAACAATTTTAGGATTATATTTTATTTAATTGTTTGAGCTTTTTTATTTGTATTTAAAAGTAATTGAATTTTAAAATATTTATGGGTATCATATTAAAATTTATTGGGCTTTAATATTTTACATAGGTGAGATTGGGCTAAACATAAATGAACGCACATAAACGAACATAAAGGAACATATTACCAAACGTTCACGAAAATAAATGAACGAACGAGCTCTCTGTTCATGTTCGTTCATTTAATTAACGAACACAAAATATTGTTCATGTTCGTTCGTTTAATAAATAAACGAACATAAACAAACTCTCTGCCGAACGGTTCGCTGAACGTTCGGTTCGTTTACAGGCCTATGTAACATGAAACAAACAATATTATTATTATATAATATCAATCATATATTAATATACATACATAGCCATCATTCCTAGAGTTTAGCAAAAGATCGATACATTGATCAAATACTCAGGGATGAATTGTAACCACTAGATGCAATCTTGAATCCAACTATGATGATCAATGCCCTCAAAATAATTAAACAATAATATAAACTTATATAACTTAGTGACGTAATCTTGAACATAAATCCTTTTGGATGACAATTATTAATTTGCTGTCTATTTGTTTGATTACTGGAATTTCTTCAGTATGCATCTAGTCGTTTTTTGGGCAGGATGCAACCGTTAATTACAACTGTTATTATAGCTAATATAACAATATCCGTTTAAGGATAACTTTCAACAATTTGACATTGAACGTTCACACCCTTGACATCCTTACTGTTCAAACCTAGGACTTCAAGGAATAACAATAATTTCTTGATCACCGAGGTATCTCGGTTCGTGCCATATATATTTACATTTGAATGTATATGAAATACATATATATCGAGAACCAATTAAATTATTCTTTAGACTGTAAGTTCAAAAAAAAAGTTGAGATTTTGAAACGAAACCTCAAAAGCAGTAACTAGCTATTCCTAGTTCAAAATAATAAATTGTTGGTCCATATTCGATCAAGAGTGCATTAGTGGTGCAAAAGAAATTAATCAGCAACGGAATATAAAAATAGTAAGATTTGACCTAAAAATAAGCTCAACATTTGACCCCCCCCCAACATCTCCACTGTTAAGATGAGAGAGACCCGACACCAAATCAGCTGTTGCAAACCCTTCATGTCTTCCCTTTGTTGTGTTTCTATTACATTTACATACATAGA